AAACCCTAAAACCCTAAAAAAACCCTTCTTTAGATTTAGTACCCGGACTAGTCATAGCTATCAAAAGAAGTAAACGATCAGTGAACTTCCCGATCTAAAGGAGGCTCTACGTAAGCTCGACCCTCACGCCCCTTTTACGGGGAATATAATTATTCTCTCCTCCTACCAAACGTAGGCCTAGCGTATCACTAGACTAATAGATAAGGAAGGTAACCCCGTTCGCCGAACCTATCTATAGACTAAGACCTCTCGACTAATAGCTAATCCTAAGGCACGGAATCCGGCTAGGGAGGAGGAGCGATTTAATAAGAATATTTTAACGGATATAGAGAAAGAGATAGAGAAAAAGAAGGTAGAGGAGGAGGAGATAGAGGAGAAGAAGGAGAAGAAGGAGGAGAAGAAGAAGGAGAAGAAGAAGGAGAAGGAGGCCTTACTAACCCACGGCTTTTAGCGCTCTAAATCCTATATTAGTATCTCGTAGGCTATACAGGACTAGCTAGCTAAACTCTAGGACACTAACTCCGCTAATATAACGATCGCGTCTATCGCTAAGCCTATTACTCGCCGGAAGTTCTTTAAGGGTTATATCTTAAATACGACTTTTTAGCGCGTTATCTATGACGAGGGACACTAAGTTAAGACTATCTCCTCTCGCTAATATTAGTCTATCGCCTTCGTGACCCGCTAGGTAACCTAGTTCCTAACTACTACGCTAATATAGAATAAGCCTCTTAACTTCTGTGGCTATCTCTCGCTCTTATAGACCGATAAAACTAATACCTAGGATATTAATAATAGCTTAGAGGAGGAGACCTTAACCGAGTTAGATAACTATAAGATATAGTCTAAGTACGCTTACCTACCTAAAGAGGGCTTACTATAGTATCTCCTCTCGCCTAAGAGCCTACTCTCGCTTAGCTAGAAGGGCTACCTCACTAGCTAGGTCGGCTATAAGTGTCTTCTAATTATCCTTTATCTAACCTACTTATACCGGGAGCCCGGCCATAAGATACCCGGTGCGGAGGGGGTCCTAATCGTGATCGGTAAGAATATTCCCCCTCTAGGGATTATAACAGTGGAGCTTCGCTATACCTATACTATCTAGGTTAGTCACGACTAGATCTATAGGCGGATTATCTATAATCTATATAGTTAGTAGGTAACTAAGGATATAGCGAGGGGTAAGAGTATCGTCCCTATTAATTAGGCGATATTTCGCTAGCTCTGCTATCTAGCTATAAATCCGAAGCTCGACGTATTCCTTTAGCGATCTATAAGTCGCGTTCTCTTAGTAGATATTAGCGTCTTTAGCGAGTGTAGCGACGACCGTAGGTTCGGTCTATTCTTTGCCCGTACTATTAAGGATTAGGCCTTTGCTCTCCTAATAAACCGAATAGCTATCGCTCAGTATCTAGCCTATAACTGTTCTTGGCTCCGGTTCCTATTCTACCTACTCTGGACCGAGGGCACGCTTATCGTATCTGGCCTCATTACTCGCCCTCGCTTCCTAGTATACTATAACTGACTATTTACCCACTAGATAGTAAAGATATTCCTCGCCGCCCTTAGCGTAAATTTCTAAGTAATCCGCGCGGGTATATCGCTCGAGGCGCGGTCTACAGCTATTAAGCAATTCACGAACCCGGATAGTGCTACTATAGTCCTTCTCACTACGTTTAACTACAGCGCGCTAAGGCTTAATATATACGTATACTACAGCTATATTATACTTATAGAGGGAAGCCAGAACTATAATAGTGTCTTTCAGATAATCGGCCGGATTCACCGACTTAGGCAGACAGAGCCATAAAGGGCTTAGATCCTCTTCTAGGACTATACTATTTAGCGCTTTATAGAATATAACTGCACTAAAAAGATCTTACCACAGATCGCCGCTTAGTTCCGCCCCTAACTAGAAACCTAGATCGCCACTAATACCCTTAAACCCGCAGATAGTAAATCGGATAAGGGTAAAGGCTAGCAGAGCGACCCTAAGATAGAAGGTGACAAGACCGAAACAGTAGATAAGGCGAGGGAAGCGCTCCTCGACTAGCTCTCCTATCAGATCCTTAAGGATATACTAGGCTTACCTAAGAAGGCCCCTTTACGGCTAAAGATACTAGATTACACTAACCTCGGCTTAGAAGGCTCCACTAACCGCGGCTAAGTATACTCTACTTATGGACTATCGAGCTCGGCCCCGCCTCCTATAACCCTAAATAAGCCTAATTATTCGCGGAAGCGCGACTCGTCGCTATCTATGCGGGATAGCCCGAGTAAGAGGGGTTATATGTGATCGGACTTTGTGTAAATAAGCCTACGGCGCCTAGGTTCTTTAGTGTTTTTTGGTGTTTTCTGGTATTTTTTTAGTCTTCGTCTATATATAGAGATAGATCTCTATAGAATTTGTGATTTCGGCTACTATAAAGAAAGGGGAATAAGAGATAATACTAGGATAGAGATAATTTACGAAATATATATGAATCTAGGCTCTAATTTCCGTATGAATTTCTGATATCTATCGAAAATATCCCCTCTTATAATCCTATATACTATCCTAATAATAGCCTATATATACTAACGGATATCAGAAATCCCCTCTCTTATAATCCTATATACTATCCTAATAATAGCCTATATATGCTAACGGATATCAGAAATCCCCCCTCTTATAATCCTATATACTATCCTAATAATAGCCTATATATACTAACGGATATCAGAAATACCCTCTCTTATTAAACTATATACTATCCTAATAACAGCCTATATATACTAATATCTATCAGAAATATCCTCCCTATTATATTATTAACCCTCCGTACGTAGAGGGAATATCTTAAATATCTCTATACTACGCACAGTCGGATCCATATACGGTTAACCTAACGCAAGAATTCTGGGCTATTATTAACTTTAGCCTTAAAGATAGCGAGACAGGCCTTAAGCACGGTAGCTACTCTTATATAGGTGTATTCCGTGATAACTATATTAAGATCATCGCTAATAACTAAGGTAACCGAACTACCCTATCATTCGTTACCTTCACTAACTCTAAGCGTCTCATCAGTGACGCCACTAAGAACTAGGTCGCTATAGACCCTTATAATAATATATATTTATAATAGCTCCCGCCGTCAGTATTGATTTAGGTATTATCTACTCTTATATAAGTGTGTTCCGTAATAACCGTATTAAGATCATCGCTAACAATTAGGGTAACCGAACTACCCTATTATTCGTTACCTTCACCGACTTATCAGTGACGCCACTAAGAACTAGGTCGCTATAGACCCTTATAATAATATATATTTATAATAGCTCCCGCTATCGGTATTAATTTAGGTATTACCTACTCTTATATAGGTGTGTTCCGTGATAACCGCATTAAGATCATCGCTAATAATTAGGGTAACCGAACTACCCTATCGTTCGTTACCTTTACCGACTTATCGGTGACGCCGCTAAGAACTAGGTCGCTATAGACCCTTATAGTAATATATATTTATAATAGCTCCCGCTATCGGTATTAAGTTAGGTACCACCTACTCTTATATAGGTATATTCCGTGATAACCGTATTAAGATCATCGCTAACGAGTAGGGTAACCGAACTACCCTATCGTTCGTTACCTTTACTGACTTATTAGTGACGCCGCTAAGAACTAGGTCGCTATAAAACCCTTATAACACTATCTTCGATACTAAGTGTCTTATTAATTATTATTTTAACGACGCTAAGGTTTAGGCTAATATAAAGTACTGGCCCTTTAAGGTTATTAATAAGCCCACTAAGCCTATTCTTGAGGTCGAGTTTAAGGGTAAGACTAAGCAGTTTACTCCCGAGAAAATCTCCTCTATAATCCTCACTAAGATACGTAAGACCGCTAAGACTTACCTCAGTGGCACTATTAATAACGCTATTATTACTATCTTTACCTACTTTAATAACTCCTAGCGCTAGGCTACTAAGGACGCTAGTCTTATTATTAGTCTTAACGTCCTCCGTATTATTAACGAGCCTACCGTTACTACTATACCTACGGTCTTAATAAGAAGTAGGAGGGTAAGCGTAATGTCCTTATTTTTAATCTCGGTAATAGTACCTTCGATATATCTCTTTTAACTATTAAGGAGGGTATCTTTGAGATTAAGGCTACCGCTAATAATACTTACCTTAGTAGTAAGGACTTCGATAACCGTCTCGTTAACCACTTCGTTAATAAGTTTAAGCGTAAGTATAATAAGGACCTAACTACGAACGCTTATGCTCTCCGCCGTCTCCGCACTACTTACGAGCGTGCTAAGGGCACCCTATCTTTTGCTACTTAGACTTCTATTAAGATTAACTCTCTCTTCGAGGGTATTAACTTTTATATCTCTATTACCCGTGCCTATTTCGAGAAGCTCTGCTAAGACCTCTTCCGCGGTACTATAGAGCCCGTTAAGCGTATCCTCCGTAACGCTAAGATTAATAAGGCTTCCGTCTACGAGATCGTCTTGGTTAGTGGTTCTACCTATATCCCTAAGATCCAGAAGCTCGTCTCCGACCTCTTTAATAAGGATACTAATAAGTCTATTAACCCTAATAAGGCCGTCGCCTACGGTACCGCTATCTAAGCCGCTATCCTCTTAGGTGACACTTCCTCTAAGTCTACTAACGAGATCCTACTTCTTAATATTGCTCCCCTCTCTCTTGGTATCGAGACCGCTAGTAGTATTATAACTGCTCTTATTTAAGCGTAATATTACTATCCCCACTAAGAAGTTTAAGACCTTCTCTACTTATTCTAATAACTAGCCCGGTATCCTAATTTAGGTCTTTAAGGGTAAGCGTGCCCGCACTAAGGACAATAACCTCTTTAATAAGTTCGAGCTCACTGATATTCCCCCGCCCCCCACGGTATACCCTAGATTAAGGTTACCTACGATCTCGATACTAACGGTATTATGAATATCTCCGCCGTCGAGAAGGGTATAAGAAAGACCTATAAGATCACTATCTCTAATAATAAGGGTCGTCTCTCTAAGGAGGAGATCGAATATATACTCTCTAAGGCTAAGAAGTATAAGGAGGAGGATAAAGCCGAGGCTAACCGTATTTAGGCTAAGAACGGCCTTAAGTCCTACGCCTACTCCCTTAAATCTACTATTAATAAGGGTAAGCTCCCCCTCTCCGATAAGAATAAGAAGAAAATTAAGGAGAAGGTCTCCGAGGTTATCTCTTAGCTCGACAATAACTAGACTGCTTAGCGCGTCTAATACTTATATATGGATCGTAAGGACTTTTGACTTAGCTAAGCTAATTTCGGACGGCTAGTAGAATAGGCGATTAAGGGCTCGGAGCTATAATATAAGTAGACTCTAATAGCTATCAGAGTTTACCTAAAATAAGCTCTAGGGACTAGGCTCTCGCACTAGGCTTTTTAGATAGCTATCAGAAATTATCACTATCCAATTTATACTATATACCTACTCTGGCTAAACGGATAATATAACTACTTATTATCGCTTAAATCGATATTAATATCCTCGCGACTACGTTTCTGCTACTAGTCCCCTTTATTGCCGCGTCACTGGCGCCTAGAAGTTTAAGGAATTAATATAACTCTGGCTAAGTTAACCTTATATATTTCTGGCTAAGTCGACCTTATGCATTTCCGACTAAGTCGACCTTATGTATTTCTGACTAAGTCGACCTTATACATTTCCGACTAAGTCGACCTTATATATTTCCGACTAAGTCGACCTTATGTATTTCCGACTAAGTTAACCTAACGCCTATTTACCCTACTTAATATTATATCGCTTACACTATTATAATATAAAATCTAAGGCTCTTATACTCTAACTCTAGCTAGTGCTTAGCTTAAAAAGACTATGCTTAAACTTTCGCGTAGGGCGCCAGAAGGTCGTCGTATATTATAGGAGGGGAGGCCGTAACGCTAATTACTTAATATACTCCGCGGCCTTTAACGCCCGTGACCGAGCGATAAGTATCTCCTCGGCGGCTAAGAGTTTAATATCGGCGAGGTAGAGTGAGACTTCCTCCTGCTCCCTAAAGTATAATAATTAATATCTTTACCCTATCGGAGAATCCGGTTAGGACTAATAATATAAGCTTAATCTTAAGATTTCTTGCCTTATAGCGGTACTTCTTTATATCTCGCCTAGGATAGATCTATTCTTACTTCGGACCGATTATCTATCTAATATAATTAGTATTCTAGATTGCCTACTAGGCGGTACTAAACTCCTATAGGAGCTTATGAAACTTAGCTACTTTGGCGGGGCGCTAATAACCTAGCGCTAGTCTAAACAGAATAATTAGGGGAGGCGTGCCTCGCTATCCCTTCCTTAGCGCCTTAGTTATCTCTAGGTCTAATTAAGTAATCGCGGCTTATATATTTTACTCCTATTAGTGTAACTAGGCCTAAGAGGCGATATAGTCGAAATCTATACTACTCTAGTCCTATTATAGGGGGGGTAGGAGATAAAGGATAGCTATCTATAGTACTATCCGCTACGTTACTCTCTAGGTAGAAGAGGGCGCGCGGAGGGAGCTTAATACTATATAATAGTAGTTAACTCGGATAAAGCTCGGGTAGCTAAGGGATATTAGGTAGCGATATAAGGAGCTTAGCGATAGATACCTATATAGGGTTACTATCTTACTTAGTAATAAGAGTAGTACTCTATAAGGGAGTAAATATCGCGAGGAAGCCTAGGCTAAGTGGCCCTTAGCTAAGAGTTAGTGTCGGCTAAGTCTTATCGATAGTAGATAGGGCCTAGAGAGGAGAAGATAGCACTAGCTAACTCTCCGATATTAGGGGGAGACTTAGGGTTAGTTAAGATAATATCTAGATAGTGGCCTATAAAGGGTATTATCCTTAATAAGGGGGTCTGTAGCTTAAAGATATAACAGACGAGGTCTGGGTCTACGACGCTCTGACCCTCGATAGAGAAGGATCGATAGGATAGAATACAGTTAAAGGACGCTAAGTACGAGGTGTTAGCGATTATAACCGTAGGGGTAAGGACGGCGAATCGGAGATATTAGGCGATACTAGGCGTAGGATAATTATAGCGAAACCTTCGGGTCCGAGAGTAAGACTGGGACTAAGCGTTAGTCGAATACTTCTCTGCTTAGTTGTCGGACTTACCTCGATTCGGGGCGGGGAATACCAGAGCTAGTTAATCTGAGTCTAGTTCGAGCTTACTATATTAGCCCGTCGTCGAGGGACAGTAGATCTCTGGCGGGATCGCCGCGAAGGCTTATAATCGGGCTCGATCAGATAACCTTTATCTTTATCTCGTAGAGTCGAGCTCTGCCACTTAGGGCTCTCTGAGCCTAGCAAAGGCCGGGGGAGTATAACGGGTATCTAGGATAATAGCGAGGGGATAACTCAGAGGATAATATAGTACTCGCCCGCGTCTATTATAACTCTTTAAAGTAAGCTCGAGCTAGTTAGTACGTGGGATTAATTATACTCGCTTCCTTAACCCGACTATTAATAACCTAGAGCCGGTCCGTCCGACGCCACTGTGTACAATATAATCCAATCACTATCTAAAAACTAAGGTAGGGTCCCTACTATCGATATAGTCTCGTATTTTTGGAGACTAAGGAATTAGGGGGGATATTAATTATATAGGAACTGCCCGTCCTAAGCACTATAACCCTAACCTTAAGGTACTAGAGTAAGTCTACTAGACGCCACTACGTATAAGTAGATCTAATAATAATTAAGAGTAATATATAGGATGCGAATAAATCGAAGCTATCTACTTTATTATATATTATTAAGGAGGTATAGGGGTCAGACCTAAAGGACCTAAAATAATTTAAGGAAAAATGAAGCTAAGGACTTTTGGCTCTACCTACTAAGATTAAAGTATAAGTTAGCCTATATTTTCTCTCCCTCGCACGATTTCTATTATTGTAGATAGCTAGCCGTCCACGGAAATATCTAGATCGAGCGACGTAGCTAGCGGCCTATCGAGAGCGATATCGTCGACGGTAGTAGACCACCTAGGTCGAGCCTACTTCGTTCGAAGCGTACCCCGACCCCGAGCTAATAACCTAATTTAAGTATACCTATCTCTTACTATTATAGGTAGATCTTAGTGTAGTGCCACTACGAATAGTGACTACCTACGATATCTTTATCGCTCTTTAGGCCGAGATTAAGCCTAAAGAATTAGCCCTAAGCGATAAGCCTAAGATTAAGATTAGGATAGAGGAGTGGAGAGACGCTTTCGCTAACGACGAGGATATAATATCGCTATCCCTTCCTATATATCCTACGATATAACCGCGACGCAGAGCTACCTAATCCAGACTGATCTTACCCTTAGTCCGATAAATCGCCCGTAGGCTAGCAGACTAGCTCCTAAATCACTATAGCTGCCTAGAGGGGCATCCTAAAGCGGCGCCCCTACGCGGTAAAAATAATATTGGCCTTCGGGAACTAACGTAGTAGGCTATTATACCGAATATCCTAGACTAGCCTACGTTCTAGTAATACCTAGCCCTATAGGCTAAGTCCCTAACACTAATATATTATCGATAGCTCCTCTGCGGCCTAGGCCTTAGGCTAACCGCGGGCTAAGCTAAGTCTATACCCCCTACTATTAATCCTATAATTAATAATATAGACTTACCGACCTTACTCCTACGCGTCTTTAATATTAATAGTAGCGGAGGGTAGGCCACTAACCTCGCGGTCGCGCGCTAAGGACTCCAGTGGCTCGCGATACGGCCATCCACGAGCACCCTAACAACTTCCCTATACCTTAATTCGCTATACGTTAAATAGCGGGATCCCGAGAGCTAGCGATTATACTACCGTTCGGTCCTAATTTATTATATCCCGCACCTACTACTAAGGCGGCTCCGTAGCTTTAAGGCTATAGAGCTATTTATACTATTCCTAAGGCTATACTATCCTTAGCGTATCTCGTAGGTATTAAGTAATAATAAGTACTGCGAATAGATAGACTATTTATTGCTTCTAGCCCTACGCCAGATATTACCGCCCGAAACTATAACCCGCTTACTAGGGAGTGGATAAGAAGCGATTCTCTGGGGTTCTGCCGCCGCGACAGAAGGGGCTACGGGGTCGGGTGGCTAGCTCCCGCGAATCTAGCTACTTACTTACTTTTTTCTACCTAGAAACCTAACTAGGATATAGGGCGTAATCTAAGAATAACTCGCTCTGGGTCTCTATACGGCAAATAAATATAGTTAGGCAAGGCTACTCCTTACGTTAAAGAACCTAAAGGGGGAGACTTACTAGCGTTTGTGATCAGAGATAATATAGGGCTAGAACTGTCTCTAACACTCCGCGATTAATAATTAGTTCCTAATAAGCTCCTTTTTCGATATAATATAGGAGATTTACCTCCCTAATAAGATTCCTTAAGAGGCGCTTAAGCTAATATAGCGATAATATTACCTAAGTCGGTTTAAGGGGTGGCTAATTAAGCTCGATACTATCCTAGAGACCTCTTTTACGCGGCCTCCCTTAGCGGAATCCGAAGGAATTCCTTTAACGTAGATATCCTTAGTGCTAACTAAGGTGATTCCCGATTTGTAGCCCCCGACGTCCTTAGTAGCGATAGAGGTAATTCCCGATACGTAGCCCCCGATAGCGCTAGTACTATTAATAGCGCGAATCGACCGGGTCCTACCTACGTAGACCCCGACTAGCTATATACCGTGATCGAGAAAACTAGTACGGTTATAATTCTGGCCCTAGACGCTTCTCTGTGACATAGGGAGCCTTACCGTCGAGCTAAAACCTTAGTGCGCTCTTCGACGGGCCGGTCTCCTCTATATATAACTCTATAATACCTCTAAGGAGATCTTTGCGGTCGGGAAGGTATACCTATTCGGGAACCTAGCGCTAGATACCCTCGCACTATTAGCTGCCTTAGTCCGGGTCTTATAATATATAGGAGGTGCCTACGCGCACTCCCGTGCGACCCTACTCCGCGGGTATCTCTATACTAAGGCGTAATACCACGCGGCGCTTAAGGGGGCTTAGGGCCGCTCCTATAGCGCCCGAGAGGAATACCGAGTCACAGCGGAGTTACTTAAGGCC